TTATCAACTATGAGTACGGTTTAATGCTGAAAACTAACTTTCCACACAGTTGTTTTCATGGTATTTTCCCCACTTCTGAAGTATTACTCTGTACTAACACTGAAATGTACATCACCTGCACTCGGCCTCTGTTCTTTTTGAAGACAAGTGGCCAATATGAAAACACAAGTGTAGCAACAATAAAAATGCTTCCCATGTCTTCAGGCACATCCAGGGATGCTTTACATGCATGAATACTCAATATTTTAGTGTCTGTGTAGATAAGTATTATGGTTCTCAGTGTATAGAAAGGGAGACCTGAGGTTTAAAATCTTGAATTATGATCCTCTGCAATGGACAGTTCTTGCTCTCATATATTCCTATATAGTGTTTTATTTTTGTGTTTGAAAATTTTTCTTAGCTACTTCTTTGGGCAAACTGTCTGACATAACCTTTCCATCCTGCACCATTGATGGCATACAGTAACTAAGCAATGACTGATATGTTTAAGAGAGACTCATTTTAAAATGCAAACTAGTGTAGTAGGAAATTTGTTTTGCTATTATGGTAGCATCAAATAGGCTATGTAAGAGGCAGGCTCCACTGAGGGTACATGGAGACATTACACTTAGATCAGCAGTTCCCAATCTGTGGTACAGGTACCACCAGTGGTACACGGGCAGCTTGTCAGTGGTATGCATTAACGGATTTATTATAATTATATGACAAAAAAATGCTGGTGGTATTTAAGGCTGAACTGAAAAATTTGCTGGTGGTACTTATGGTTGTATCATTTTAAATTGGTGGTGCACAATCTGTCAAAGTTTGGGAACTGCTGACTTAAATCAACCTTAGGGTTAAGTCGATCTAAGTGTCAAACTGTGCATGCATTCAGAGGCTAGGGACAGGCATTCAAAAAGCCTGAGCCTGAATTGATTCTATCTTGGCAGGTTAATCTAACCTGAATAGGCTAAATCACTTTGTAAGTGCACAGATATCCCAGAAATGCAGACACATGCCTGCAGTGGCTCAGGGTACAAGCCAGGGGGTGCTAGAGCAGCCCTCCCTTCCTTATACAGGGCTGAGCTGAAGAGGGCGTGGCCAGGCCCCAGCAGGATTAGGGAGGGGTTCTCCGCCTGCTTGATAACAGAGCATTTATCAGCTCTCTTATCAGCATTTATCACCCCATCAGAAAACAAACAGCCTCTCTCATTAGTTCAAACTTTTCTTAAACAAAGCTGCGGTTTGATTAGCCCCTAAGCTGACACTGCTGTCTGCCACAGCACAGAGCATATCCAGCATGTGGTCTGCTAGCTAATGCTGAGGTGTCTGTGTAAGGCAGAGGGGACAGGGGATCTCTGCTTAGCAGAGAGTGAGGAGGGGAGGGGGAAAGCAGAAGGAAACCAGGTGGATGTTGCTGTGCCTGCAAGTCTCTTCCAGAGCTGCAGCCAGGGAGCAGAGGGGAGGGCCCAGCCCTGCTGTGCAGCAGAGAGCCCTGCCCAGCCCAGAGACCATGCCGGGATGCTGGGGGAGTCTGATTTAACTTAAACCAGAAAGGAGTCTGGGACAGACACTGCATAAACTGATTTAGCTCAAATCAGCTAAGTCTGACACTACATTCAGCTGGTTTCAGCCATTTTCATACTGGTTTATATGCACTGAATATCTCTTTGTTTATAGGTTTAAACCAGTTTCTGATCACTTAAAGTGGTTGATGTGTAATGTCTATTTCTAGCCAGGGAGTTTAGATTGGGCAAAAGATGACTGGCCCGATCTAACTTAGTTCACCTGATGAGGTCACTAAGTTGGGCTAACCCATACCTGATCTAACCAAATGTGTGTACACCTTCAGAGTGCAGCCCCAGAGTTGGGAAAGCGCAACCACTCACCCCAGCCCTGGACTATTTTTCCTACTCCCCTCACCCTCAGAGACCCTTTCACCCCCAGATGGACTACCCTTCTCCATGGACCCACTAGTTTCCAATCCTGCCCACCAATCCCCCCAATCTGACTTAGGCTGCCAGCAGATGTTTAGGGGCTGAACTCTAACTCATTGCACTTTACATAAAATACCATGAGTTAGAGCAACCCTTGCCCTGACTCAACAGACATTTGCCTGTTGGGTTGGGGGGTGAAGCTCAAGCCTTCCAGCCCTGGCCAGCAGACAGGGGCACTCTGGAAGCGTTTGAGGAGGCTGCCAAACCTCCCCTCTCCCCACCAGCTCCATTCCACACCCCACAACTCCAGCCATGGCAAAGCCAAACCAGCAGCTGTGAGCTGCCCCTGTCAACAGGCTTGAGTAGAGGGTGGGAGAAAGGGGGCTCCCTTTCCCTACCCTGGCTCAAGCCAATTGACAGCAGCAGCTTTCAGCTGGAGTGGTCATCATAGAAGACATTCCGGTTTTCTGCTACTCTGTCCTCTGTTGATACAAAACTCAATGCCTTTATGTCCCCTATTTTTCTCTTCAAGAAAAAAATAGGGGACATAAAGGCATCCAGTTATATATCAATAGAGAACAGAGGACAACCCGACTGTCCTCTATGCTGGCCACCCTATTTGCGGCTGCCAGCTCGGCTTTGCCACAGCCAGGGGTCAGGGGGGTAAAACTGAACCCCTTGTCTCATGGGCATAGCCTGGCTCCCCCCAGTATCCCATCTGGGGTAGCTGGATGGGGGCTGTGAGGCAAGGGGGCTCCATTCCACCCCACCATGGCTCTGGCCATGGCAAAGACTGCATGCTGCCTCTTCTTCCTCCCCCCTCTCTCTCTCCTGCTGACAGCCCAACAAAGGCATGAAAAATTAACCCTCAAGGGAACCTGAACACAAGTTCCCTAACATACTCTGTTCTATAGTGCCTTCAGCTAATCGCTGATTTATCGAGGGTTATTGTTTCACGTGATCAGCCATTTTGAAAGCACTCTGCAGCCATAAATGTATGTTATGTCACAGTTGTACACAGCTTTCAGGGACCAGAATTTGTGAAAAATGCAACTTAAGTAAGCGTCCTTAGATCATGTTTCTGGTGCAGCTCCAAGCACTGGTAAACATATGCACAACTGGGACCTGATTGATTATGCAAACCACGTAATCATAGATCAGGTCCCAGGACTGTGCATGCATGTCCTGAAAGACATTGCAATGTGAGCCTTGAATAGTTCTTCAAATTGGCACTAACAGAAGACCTGAAGTTGGATGTCTAATTTGTAAGCAGAGGTCAAGACCTGGCCTGCAAACAGAGCTTGTATCCAGAGGAAAGCATTTGATAGCATTTTCCTCACTCCTTCCTTACCTTCCCCAGTGTTGTGGATTTGGTTTAGATTTCCAACAGTCCTTCTGCCCCAGAGTCTGAAAATGTTCAGATTTCATAGTTTCATAGTTGGTAGGGTTGGAAGGGATCTGAGCAGATCATCAAGTCCGACCCCCTGCCATGGCAGGAAAGAGTACGAAAATTGACTTTACCACTTACCTGATTTGAGCTGTAGTGCTGTATGCTGTGATCTAAGTTGCAGCTCCTTCAGGATATGTCCTGACCATAGAATTCTGTTGCCACAGCTGTATTGGTCAGGGTTGGGATTCCTGACAGGCATGGCTTCATCAACAGAAGGCCCTTCTTGTGTAAATTAAAGCAAAACTGCACTTTCCCTGGGACATCTTCACTGAAGACCTCAGAGTGGGAGTGGTACTATAGTATTATACTGATACAAGAGTGTTTGCTGTGGCTGTTGATTTCCAGTCAAAAAAAATGGCTGTGACATTAGATGACAGTGTACTTGGGGTTTTAAGTAATTTAATTCTTCTAAAGTTCTTGAAAATATTTTGCTGAAATCCTCTGCTCAAAAGTTACTCCTGAACAACTGAAATGGAAGTGACACTGGTGGTGACCCTAAAGTAAAGAACGTTAGTTTTCTCTTGAGCACAAACACAGATCCCTTATTTAAAAATGAAATAAAAATGTTGTCTTCTGGAGAAATAGCTTGAAAAACTAAACTACAACTCTAAAAAAAAATACAGATTGTTGGGCCACCATTACAGATAAGTGTAGTTTATAAATAATGCTAAATAGCATATTTGTTCCATTTAGCAGTAGTACTCAGTGTAGAATGCTACGTAATCAATAGCCAGTTTGACCACATCTTTTAACAAACTGGTTTGCTGTAGTTGCAATTTCTGAGCAATCTGGATGTGGCAATTATGCCCCTTGGTGCATTTTCTATTTCTCATGCCATCACTGATAAACTTTATCGCTTTTAATTTGCTAGGGAGTCATTGATATAATTAGGAACAGCATAAATGAGGGCAGCGTATCTCAGCTGATGATGAACTAGTCAGTTAATTTATCATAAGAAACTGTAAAGGTTTCCTACCAGCAGCTGAGATCACTTTTTATCCAAGACTAGCTCTGATGAAATGCCCGGTGCATACACTTTTCATTTGGGACCATTATATTTTTTTTCTTATGGCAAATTCTATGCTCCACATATTTTTTCGTAAAAAAAAATGAAACCTGTTCTTCCATGTTTTTCCAAAGGGACAATACGAGCATTCTCTCCCTTGGCAAACTCACTGTGTTAAAAAGGTTTATGAATTGGCATCTCTCCTTTTACTTATAATCAAAATCTTTGGTTCTAGGGTTCCCAAATTGTGACACATCAGCTTGATGCTCTGTCCAGTCATTCCACAATAATTCTTTAAAATGTGTTAGGGAAACTTGTAGTAAGGGATCTGCTTTTCCACTAGATTAAATCTTGTATTCCACAGACCTTGCTGCTTGGAATAAAACATGTTAAAAGGTCATCTTTATCCATTTGTGTGGACTTCGTGCTTATTTTGCCCCCAAAATATTCTCCATGATAAGTCCCAAATTGCTTCTGAGATATTTGTCAGCATGGCTTACTGTTTGCAGCATTACAGACTTACAGACTTACTACCAAGAGTTGAATCAGTTTGGTTTTGCAAATAGTGTGTTTGTGAAACTATGTAAATAATTGATCAGTCTGTGTGTTTCTTTCTTTTTTTTTACAGTACTCTCAACAATAACAACATCACCCGCATCCCTGTTACCAGCTTCAACCATATGCCAAAGATCAGGACACTGTAAGTATTAAATTTAGATATAAATAGCAATCTAGGATGATAATAACTGTCTATGACTTGATTATTTATCCTTTTAATCAGTAACTGTATTAAAATATTTAAAAAAAAAGGAGTGAACTTTAGTAAAATCCTTCAACACATATTTGAAGCCAAAAAAGGCAAAACTTTAAGTTACCTCATTCCTGTTTTATAAAGGATTATCTTCTTATCGGGTGAGAGCATATTTCAGTCTTTACCTAGTTTAAAAGGATCATGGTTCTTTAGGGGAAAAAGATCTAACAAGTAAGCCTAGCTGCTGTTATACTGGTATGTCAGCTATGAAATTTAGCTGAGCAAATTTACTATAGGGTAAGGTCAGATTCAACCTGTTTTTATAGCATCATAAAATGACCATGTATAGTCATTACACTTTTACCAGTATAAGTGACTGGAACCCAATCTAATACCTGTAACAAAACAGAAAATCGGCACACAAAACCAGTCTATACCTGAACAGAAAAAAAGTTTGGCACACAGAAACAGTCTATACCCAGAACAGAACAGAACAGAAAGAACAGAAGTTCAGCACACAGAGACTGATTTAAAAATGATGGAACCCAGTCTAAGATTTGCGCCACCCCCCCTCAATCAAAGGTAAATGTGTGTTCTGTTCATTACCAATCTAAACTACTCCAGTTACAGAAAACCGTGTAATTTAGATCGATTCCACCTTGGGCTTTTTGAATGTCTGTACCTAGCCATCAATAAGTAGAGCTGGAAGGGACCTCATGAGGTCCTTTAGTCCAGCCCCTCCCCCCATACCGATCACAAAGTGCCAGGATTATTATAAGTTTTAAATGAGGACGTTATTTGACCCAAGTTTTTGATCTGGGCAGGAACTTATTTATTGTTTTGCATAGAACAGATATCTCAAATAACTTTCAGCCCAAAATTCAACAGAAACAAAAATATCGATACGATGGCAAAATGATTTTTTAAAAAGAAAAACAAAGTAGTTTGATGGGGAAAAGGGTAAGCTGATCAATATTTAATTTTGGTAAGATTGAAATGTTTCGGGCAGGTTGATTTTTTAAAATATTTGTTCAGTTTTAACATGAAAAGTGACTTAAAATTAAAAACACAAATCTTCATTTAGGATTTCTTCTGAAAAAAGTCAATGAAATGGACATTTCCACAATTTTTTCCTCAAAAAATCAGCATTTTCCAATAGAAAATTTCGAGTGAGAAAGTTGTGATGGGCTCTAATAGGAGCTAAATTTGACATGATGTATTTTTTTGGAGGAATTTAGAGCAAGGCCTTAGAAATAAAATACAAAAGCTAGTAGCATTAGCTTTATGGCTTCTTCCCACCTGGTGATGTCCAAAATATTAAACAAACAGTTTCAGTGGAAATCACATTTAAACAAAAGCCTGTTTGGTTTTACTCCAAGTGCAAAACTAGCCAAGATGTTTTTACTCCAAGGTGCAAAGCAAGCCAAATAGTAGCAGCTTGTTCAAATTAGTGGGAAGCAGAATGCTGTGTGTGTGTGTGTGTGTGTGTGTGTGTGTGTGTGAGATCACACTAGACAAGTTAACTGAGGAAAAATATCTCTTAATTGTGTATATTGACAGGACTGGTATCGGCGATAACCATTGATTTATATTTATTCTTTTTCTTCTTTAAAGGATGGACATTAGCATATTATAATATAACTGATTGATTAGAAGTTATATTATTGTCCTTTGGAAGTATGTTGCAGGAGGCAAGGGTTATGTCCTATCCGTCTCCCTTCCCATGGTCCAGAATATTTGCCTGGCTACTTCCGATCAATCAGTCTTGTCTGTTACCAGAGCTCAGTGCCTGCTGCCATTTTTCCTTTAGTTTAATTTCGGAGATGGCTTTGTATATAGCTCCCTGGAGACTTACACTGACTAATCCCCTTTCGCTGTAATTAAAGAAAAAAAAAAGGAAGGAAGTCATAAATGGGATTTATAAAGGGAAGCTTTTATATTGAATTCTGAGAGCCACATTTTATAGAACATGAATGCTGACCCACTCTAAAAGGATTTGCTGGAAATTTAATTTAGAATCTGTGACTAAAAGGGCACCTTTAAAAACTAGCATTTGTATTCATTCACCTTATGTTCTATAAAGGTAGTTTCATCAATATCAAGTGGCATGTTTCAGTCTCCAAAGGCTGCCAAACAACATGCAACACCCTTCTAAACAGTTCAATATAAGAATAAAAAAGCTCTGCATAAGAGGGTAGAAATATAATAAAACTGTTTAGTTTTTCATTTTTACCTTCCATCTGTCAGAGGCAGTAAAACCATCAAAAGAATAATTAATGTAAAATAAACATATGAATTGATAGTATTTCTTGATGTCTTTCAGCTCAAAGCTGGAATTGTTCAATTTTTCCCGATCACCACCATCATGTCTCACAAAGATGATTTCTAAATAATAAAATAGCTTGGCATAGCCTTGAGATGATTAAATGTTCTTGAACATCTTTCATTCCTATTTCTGGATAATCTAGCTTTAATATTAAACGTCTGTTTCGCTGAAGTAAGTGGTAATGCCCCTTTTCAACCACAGAAGCAATACATCTCTGCACAATCAAGTTAAAAATAATTTGCTTATTGTTCTGGTGGGTAAAATGTTAATATGAAGATATTAATTGGGAGAAGCACACTATTTTCTCTTGTATCATGTTCCTGATTTATTTTTCTTGGTAATTTCTTCCTTTTATATTATACATAATCTGAACAATACTGTTGAAAAAAAAATATTAAAGAAAACATGTTTTCCTCTAGCAATAATGGCTTGAAGTAGGGAGGATGAATTATAGTACTTTAATTCATCAATTATTGATTCAAATACAGTCCATATGTATATCCCACCCACATTGTTGCTGTCACTGTGCGCTATCCTGTAAAGTGAATTTGGTCTCAGTTTAGTTCCGGCTGGCAGAAATATCATTGCATTGAGCCATTTTTGTTAGCACGTTGAACACAGAGTCCAGGGACTGAATGAGCCTTGAAAATGACATGCCCTACATCCCTTAAATATGCTTTGCAGTTCCCTATAGATGGGGTTCCCTAGATAGACTTCCCTGTTGGGCAGTTGGGGGTGCTTATACTCTAGATGACTGTGGATTATTTAGCCTGTGGATAAGTAGCCCTTTTTCTCCTCCCTTTTGTTTCCCGTCAAGGTGTTCAGTCCAGCTCCCTATAAGAATGAGACTCATGTTTTGTTTTTTAAGGAAAGAGTCCATTCCATTAGGGAGGATGGGTGAGGGAAATTAAAACCTGTCTAACTAATGTGACCTTTTAAGGAAAAGTAAAATGTACTAATGTAATTGTAGTATTTAAGGAATTCTTTTTAAAAATCAGCTCTTGTATGTTGATCTGTTTTGCCTAACTCTCTCTTCTGTTGTTAAGTTTTATTGATCTTTTAGCCTTGATTGGAACCGACAGGAATTAGTTTGCATTGATCTGCTTTCCTTTGCTTTCAACAGCTTTATTTATGCTAAGCATGGTCCCTGTATTCATTTCCTTAATAGTGAGTCCCCTGCTGTCTCTGCATCTGTGAGTGACTGCTGAGGTAGAGCATTACTTTTTTTTTAGTTAAAGGGATACTAAACATACACCAAATGACTTCAGTCTTCTTGATGCACACAAGAGACTGATGTGCCATACTTCCCAACCACAATGGAAGGAAGCCCTTTAAAAACATTTTTACTATATTTGTTAATTTATTTATCAAAGTTATATTCCTACAGGCTACATGGTTAAGCTTGACAGCTTTGTTTACAATGGGTTCCCCTCCAGAGGCATTTCCATTCAATCCACAGTTTTATATGCTGCAGAATTTCAGTGCAAATGATATAAACTGTGCTAAAGTCAGGGTTCAACTAGAGTAAGAGAGTGGATTGAAGAGGGATTCAGTTCCCACTGGTAAAATACTTAAGCCAAGAAACTGACTATACAAATGTAGTCATAAAGCAAACTGGGGGAGTGGAAGAACAAGATGCTTCCTTCTTTCTTCGTCAGATTTTTGTTTTACGAGCCGTTTCTGTAATATTGCCCTTTCTATAACAATAACAGTAGATACATGAAAAATAATAAAAATAAAAATATTTTCCCAAATATTTGGTGGACAATCGCATCAAAGTTTTGCAACCTGTAAGAAGATTCCTTCCTCTTCCTTTTTAAAATCTTAGATGAAAGATATGTTTTATTTTGTACTCTGAAGGTCAGAATATATAAGCACTGCTGAGCAGAGCATGGGAGTGAATTTGAGACATGAGGTTCCTTTACTGAAAATATGTCACTGGCAACCCCCAGACATACAAATCTAGGGACTGTCAGCTCAGGCGCCACCACTGATCTAAACTGCTGCCATGTAATATGAAGATCTCTCAGACTGATCGTTCATTTGTTTTAGAGGCAGACAAAGCTAAGTCCTGTGTGCACCAATTGTATTTTAAATGTAATGTGTGGTATATGAGTTAATCGTGCTTTGTCTAATCCGATCTTTGCAGGGTTTCAGTATGTTTTATTTATTTGGTCACATTACTACAAATGAATGACTCATTAAAAGGATTGACATAATTAGGTTTGACCTAAAGTTTGTAGTAGTTTTAAAAACGATCAGATTTGTCCCTAGCTGCATCTTACCTTGAAGAGGTGTGGTTTTTTTGTATTTTAAGATTGATAATGTTTCCAGGAGTCTTTAGTGCAAATGTATAAATGTATATCTTTTCTAACTGATTGCCTGGCTGCTTGTCTTGAAATGAAAAATCCCTTCTAAAACCATAGTAATTAAGTGAAATTATAGCATGTTAAAAGATATTGGTTTGGGGGGTGGGGGCAGGGAAGCATATTTAGTTGCTTTTGGGCAAATTAATATATACAAGAAACCCAGCGCAGAACTGAACACAATATCAGCTACACCATTGATAAATACATTTATGCGGCAAGTTTTCAGCCTAGTTTTGTAGCTTCCTCTGGTGACTGCATAAGCCTCCATTCTTTTGGATGTACCCTTAACACTACCTCTTATAAAGTTCACACAGTCCTTTTCAATGTAATATCAAAAGCTAAATGATCAAATGGAAGCACCTTCAATTCGGTGTCTCTCTTATCCCTAATCCTCAAGTAGTCTCAATTGCTACAACTGCCCTGTACTTATTTAACTTTCTCCTGAAGGAAAACCAGACTAGTACTAGTTTGCTGTGTTTTACCACTAGAACACGACATGCAGCTGTGATGTGACTCTTTCTCTCTGTTGCAGGCGGCTTCACACAAATTTCCTGCATTGTGATTGCCACCTGGCGTGGCTGTCTGACTGGCTGCGTCAGAGGCGCACTATTGGGCAGTTCACGTTCTGTGTAACACCTGGGAACATGCGGGGTCAGCTTGTGGTGAATGTTCAGAAGAAGGACTTTGTCTGCTCTGGTAATGATACTAATTATTCATTTATCTATCTTCTGCCATTTTCATAATGAAATTCGTACACAAACAGTGAATGGAGTATTATTATGTTAGTCCTATTTAAATGTCATTCAGTGGCAGCGGTGGTTTGGTTTACATCACTGCTAAATTGTTTGGTAATATGTTAAATTATTCTGATTTGTTCCATCTTACATGAGCTATTGGGCTCTGTTAATGACTTGATTCTCAAAATCTTTTCAAACTGTTCTATTAGAAATTATTTAAATGTGGAGGAACAATTAAGAAGTAGGAATTTGGCATTTCTCAAGGGAACATCTCTCCAGTTTCTACAGTTGACTAGAATACAAAGAGGATGAATTAAGAACGTCTAATCTGTGTTGACTGATGAAGGTGCAGTCTACCAGTCAGGAAGTATATGTTTTGTCTCAAACTCCAAAACAGATTTTTTGCATGCCTCCCAAGCCATGATACTTAACTTCATCATCTAAATTTCCTTATTGGTAAAATGAGGTTGATAATACTTACCAAACTCCCAAGTGAATTGTTTGTGCATGTGTGGGTGAGTATATGCACATGCATATGCACACAACCCTATACAAATATAAATTAAGTAATGTAATAATACAGAATGCTATAGATATCATTATTTATTCAAAGGAAACTTATTCAGAAGTTGATTTTTGTGTCCATATGAGTTTGCACCTTTGGCTGAGTGTGATTCTTTGGTATATGAGATTATCTCAGTTTAAGTGATAATTACTCTAATAAAATATAAAACCTGCTGTAAATGTTAACACAATTCTATCTGGTAAGGAAGTATCATTTCCCTCAGTATACGGGTGAAGAAACTGAAGTTATAAGGAGGGTGAGTGCCTAAAGTCTCAAGAAAAGCTGTTAATGCTAGGAATAGAACACTGATTCTTGATTCAGTGCTCAGACTGCTACATGCCCTGCATTACAAAAACCTTCATTATATTATCCACAGTTGCTGGCAGCATTGGCAGACAGGCTAGCCAAGGACTGAATGAGCTTACAAAACAAGTTTCCCCTCCTCCATTAGAGGTGAACCTTGAAGAGTGAAGGATGTTAGTGTGAGAGCATGCAGGAGCTTGAAATGGCATTGGTTACAATGAACTGGTTCTCTTGGCTTCAGTCCTCCAAACTGTCCATTTAGCCCCTTACAAGTAGTAGTAGTATATGGGAAGGAAGGAGGTGTTTTTATGATTGCATGAGTATTTCTGATGACATTAGGGGTTGGGAAAACTCCCCTGATTCAAAATGTGATATGTGCACAAAGGTTTACAGGAGGAAAAAGCCACCATGAAATTGACGTCAAAGTGTTTATAACTGTCTGCAGGTGGTGAGTCCTTTTTTGTGTGTTGCTTGCCAGTCAGCGTAATCTTGTGGAGGTGAACCACATTTTTTTAAAACATAAAAGCAACTGTGCCTATCTGAGTACAGGGCTGAAGAATGAGTCCTCCTGGGGACTTAAAGACTGAAGCAAACAGCAGGAAAATGATTTTATTAGCAGTCTTTTTCTGCTTTAGATACTTGATGCCTGACTGTATGCCCTTACATAGTTACAGTACAAGTACCTCTGATTATAGGGCTTTCTAAACAAAACCAAGGAAAAGTGAGAACTATGTAATGGAGAAGGCCCCAAAATTCATGGCATGTTACAGATGCACAGAAGAAACTGTGACCTGATTTTCAAAGGCATTGAGCACCTGATGTTTCTGTGAACTCTGGGATGCAATAAATTACAATCTAAAGGAGAAAAGGGTTAGAGAAGTAACAGGCTGTCTTAGACTGGGGGGGGAGGGGTGAATAAAGGCATGTGGGTAAGAAACCATTAGCAGTTAACAAGGCAAATAACCAGGGTCACTCCTTCCCTGTAAAGAAAAGTTTTGAATGAGTGAAGAATTCAACCACTGGTGCTTCAGGAAAAAAACAATACCGTGCAGTGACACACAGAGATGTTTACATGAGGAGAGCTTAGTTAAAGCCGGGGTGTGTGGCATGCTACGGGCCAAGACCTGCCAAGTAGACCGCAGTGTGTGTGTGCGCGCGTGTGTGTGCGCGTGTGTGTGTGTGTGTGTGTGTGTGTTGTGGGGGGAGGGATTGGTCACAGGTGCATGGTGTGGTGAGGGGGAAGTCTAGGTGGTATGTGGCTGGAGAGACCCATGACTCACCCTGGAGCAGTCCATGGGCCTGTGGTCCCCACTGGTGCAAACTTCTGGGTTCAGCCCCTGCCCAGAAACTCAGTTGAACTGAACAGCCCTGGGCTATGCAGTTCTAAAACTGGAGGAGTTAATTCCAAGGGAAAACTGAGTGGTGACCTCCATTTAATTTTCACTTGTTTCACAAAAAAATCTGTGAACATAATTTTCTGAAAACTCACAAAAGTAAGAGTGCTAAAGGGCATCTAAAATTCCAGCTCCACTGTGGAACAGGCCAGCTTCCCTTCCCTGAATTTACAAGCTAATTTAATTAGTATTTGCCTATGAGGTTACCAGATCTTTACATTGAGCTATTTCTGTTCAGGACAGCGCTGCACAGGGTTTATCCCTCTGAGAATACATTTTACATAATTTAAGGTGATATGAACCACCGTTACAAGCCACAAGCTGGTGCTAAAAGGCTTTTGTGTATCATAGTGACAAGCTTAGTGATGAGATAAAATACACTGAACCATTGTGTTGAGGGTATATGTTCAGGGTTTGTTTTATGGCAGTAGGCAGTTCTTCAGAGAAGAAGAAAGATCTTTATGTTTCTTGCCCTTTTTTGTCCACTACATTAGGGATTTCATCACAGGCTTCCCAAGCTTGGTGCTAGTAGTGGCAAGAGTAAAAACGGATGCAGACTAAAAGCAAGTCAAGAAAAATTTTTTAAAAATAAATGTTAATTTGGAGTAGAACAAATTACTTTAGACTGATTCTGAGCACTTTTGCGTGGCCCACTTTCCATTGCAGAACACATTTTAAAACTTGCAAATTTGTTTTACCAATAAATATGGAATCTGCCATATTTACAAGAAATGAGGATATACTTTAAGAAACTACATTATTGACATGTGAAATGCTGCCAGATGTTTGCAGCATTGCTACTGCTTGAACCCCAGTAGTTTGACTTTCTCTCTGATGACTTTTCTATAGCACCATGTTGCCTCTCCCACCTGGCAAACATTAATACCATTAAAAGATTGGCAGGTGGGTTATAGGGACTAAGATACAAATGCACAAAGGTATGTACAAACTCAACTCTCATTGATATCAGTGAAAGCTAGTGTCTAAATACTTTTGCAGAACGGGGCCTAAGGTTTCAAATCAGAGTGCACAGTTTTTGCATTTTAATTGAATGGTTTGAAAATAGTGGTACAGCTCCAGAAAGACTTGGTTTGGTCACACCCATGAAAGATTGGCTATAGCATAAGAGAAAATGTGGAAGATTCATTTGTGCTTAGCAGCATGGAGGCAGGCTTGCAAATACAGCTTAAGAAATGTCTAAGTGGCTTTGTGGTACTGAGAAAGGTAATTAACATGATGCGAGCAGGGCTTACGCTTCAGTGGCAAAAATATTTTGGCATTCTTTTCCTCTAACGCTTCATTGTGAGAAATCAATGGAGAAATGTTGGGCGATTTATTAACTATCTCTTAATCTACCACGCACTTCTCTCTGGCTATTAAGACAACCTGTCTACTCATCATGGGAGGGTCTTCTCCTCTGGAGCACTTATGTTGGAATAGCCTTCCTGGAGCTCTGCCTTAATGCCATCTGTTCTCAAATTAATCTGGAAATGCATCCTTTCCCCCATGCAGCTGCTTTATTTAACTCCACAAAATGTTTTGTGATTCAGTTAGCACTTAAGGCACTACATTAAAGAAGGGAGTATTGTATTTTCAACCACAGGGTGATTACACAAATTGATGAGTTACAAATAGTATGACAAATTTCTCCTATCTCCTTCTACCACAACCCTCCAGCTCACTGCCACATTATGGAGGTAAAGACATAAAACACCATGCAAAGACTTTCTGTCAGCCAAAACATCAGCTTTGTTTAGATGCAAGGGAACTGTTTTTTTTTAAATAATCTTTGAGGCAATCACAGAGGAGGTGTGTGTGGGGGGAGAGGGGACAGAGGGGTGGAGTAGCTTAGCTTAGTTTATAGCACCTGGTTGAGCCTAACAGTTCATGTTTAGGCCCCAAACAATGTTTAGGTAGTACACGGCTGAATTATTTCTTTCTATCCCTTTACAGTAGCTATTCTGTTTCCTTTCCCTAGGCCCTCTGAATTAATTCTTTATGTGAATTTGATTTGTGGATCTTTGATTTCTCTTCTACCTGCTCTTTGCTCGTTCAAGGTGAATTTAATCTACATACTGATCAGTTACATTAAGTCACAAAGCTTTTAGTCACCAGCTTTCATGCATTTGTCAGCCGTTGCAATCTAGCATACAATGGTTTTATGAAATAACACAGGCAAAGGGGTATTCCCCTGCTCTTGTCAGTGTTCTGTGAGTGATGCACTAAATGACCCCAGCTCAAGTGATTTTATTTTCATACTTTAATGGATCATTCAGAAATTTCTTATTGGGTGTATCTACACAAGACATTTGCTGCACAGTTGATTAATTAACTGCCGTAAATGTCTCAGCATCTACATGTATACCTTTATTAGGGCACAGAAAACTAATAAACTTTGCAGCAGGTTAGTACTTGTAAATACTGAGTAGTAATTGTAATGCAAGTACTACCCTACTGTGGAGTTTTTTCATGCAGCAGCACACATGTAGATGCTGACCCATCTGGCTGGAGAATGAGGGTGCTTCAGTACCGGGACTGCCTGCTGGTTAGTCCCCCTTAGTGAAGCAGTTTTGTGCCTCAGCCAGCCCCTTTGCAGCACACTGACCCTGGTCAGAACATCCCTGCTGCAACCCAGCTCAATGTGTGGCGGTCTGGGTACATGTGTAAACCGCATGCCCGGAAGCTTAATGGAACATG